ATCCTGGTTATAGTGTTTTAGCAATCGAGAAAAACTGTAATAGCAAGTGCCTTTGTGGTTAGTGTTCATGGAAGAGCTGTACTTTCAGCTTTTTCTTAAAAGTGTGAAGTGCGAAGGTCTCAGCTGATTGTGGAGACTGGAAGCTTCTTTCAACACTGAGGAACAGAGAGGATGAAGGTTCTGAAAAGCAACTTTGTACTTCATTTTGATGGAGCCAGTAGGTGCTGCTCGTTCACTGATCACAGAGAAAGGTAGGGCACATACAGTATAAACCTGGAAAGGTGCTGGTCCAGAGTGCCAGTCTTGAAGGCCAAAGTTCAAGTTAAAAGATGGTTGGTCAAGAGATACTTAATAGTCACCAATATAGGACACTGGCAGGGCCGGATTAACATAAGGGCTAGGCGGGGCTGAAGGGGGCCCGACGTGATTGGCTGTGTAGGAAAGGAAAAGTAGACGTAGAATTGATAGGCCATCGGAAGCACCCCAGCTTTTCCGGGTGTGCCGATTGCCGAAATCCCACTACGCCCCCACATATGTCTGCGCTATTTCAGTCCAAAAAGATATGAGCGATAAAAATGTCTTGTAAAATAAAAATGTACTCGTTTACACTATTGAAGCCACATACTGAGTATGTGTGAAACAGGTGTAACACGATGGCCTGCTCCGTTTGCCGAACAAGAATCTCAACGTTTTTTAGGGACAAAAAATATATATATAAATCAATAAATCTGCTTGTTGTTTTTTTCTTGTAAGTAAAGTAAAGGACAAATTAAAAACATTGTAAATATGTTTAGTCATTGTAGTAGTAATGACTGCCTGTTTTTGCAAAAAGAGTTTCATGGCCGGTAAAAAAAAATTTTGGCCGGTAAATTTTATCACGTCACCGGCCATTGGCAGGTGTGGCAAAAAGTTAGTTTTAGGCCCTGCTTATATGTGAACAGTAAAGTTTCTGTGGTGAAGCTATAAGCAATTTAATCTGCACAGCCCCACACCTAGGCTATTTAACATGCCGACACTGTAGAAATATGGCATTAATTATATTTATTATTAATGTCACGAAAATTCTTAAATGCTACTTATTGCCTATCAAATATTGGATCAAATAAAGGCAATAAATCACTTTTATAAAGGTTTACTAATACTATAGTTAACTCTGGATTCAAGAATGAGCTTTTCATTAAGGCAACTACAAAGGAGAATTTAATAGTTCTAACTTTAATTGCAGAAAAATATAAATTCAATAATTAAGAGCCTGCAATATAATGGAATATTAATATTGTTAAATGCATTTTAAGAATTCAAAAATATCATTTGTTTTGGTCTGTTATTTATTAATAAATAATTTATTCCAATTGCCCTAACCCCAGCAAAACATTTATGGGGGACTGTGTGGGCCAGATGGGCTGAATTTTAGCACCAGTCCAGTCCTGATGATTCTCCTCTTCTAGGAGCAGAAAGAAGACCTTCTAATAATAAAACTATTTAAAATAAAACCCCTTAAGGGAGCTGTATATGCTCAAAAGTTGTTGCTGCTTCTGGAAACCTGCTTGCTTTGGCTTCATATATCTGGTGTTATTGTATTTATTCTTTTAATGTGTTGTAGCCTGGAATATTTAGTGTGCATAATCATTGTATCTCTGTGTGTTGGAGATTTGATAAAGAAAAAAAAAATTATTCCTGTGGTAGAAAATGTTGTGGCACCAAGATAGACAGACTACTATGAAGGGGGGCCCTTGGGTTTGCTATAGCCCCAGGGCCCTATCCGGGCCTGGACACTGGTCATCTTTTTAAGTGATTTTTATATATAGGATGAGGGTGGAGACACAATGTAAACAGGAACACAGAACAAGGATGTCTCTCAATTTTTTTTAAACATCAGTGGAAGCACAGCTTCAGGAGTGAACAAGAGCCAAAAGAAACAAACAGCAACACAGCAACAAACAACAAAATCACCAAATGAAAGAATAAAACATTTTAATAATAATGAAATATATTTGATATATACAGTATATACAGTATATATATATATATATATATATATACACAGAGACCTTGTTCAGACTGTCAGCAAAAATCAGATATCAGATTTTTGCATATCCAGATATTATTCAGATGGGCTTTTGAAAGTCAGAACAGCAAAAAAAAAAAAAAAAAAACATGAAATCTGATTAAAACCACATTTGGAGGTGGTTTATGCAATCGATCTTAACAGATGTGTCTCAGTCCTGATGCTCTGGCTGCTCAAATCAGATCTTGTGCATCACTATTAACGTGACACACAATTATATCGTCAAAACTGCTGATGGAAATGACATACGACGCCCACTCCTAAAGTGTTACAAAATATATAAAAACATACAAAATAATATTGTGAAATGTGGAGTGAAATTAAAATTTACATATTTACAAAAACTACCTCACTAATCTGAAAATAATCTTTAACTTTAGCTGCTCCTAAATGAAATGTAATGAAACGCATATAAGGGGAAAACACCAGTGTTATCAAAGTGACATCGGTGGTGCTTCTCAGTTCTTATTTGTGCATCCTTGTTTCCTTTCCTCGCATCTTAGCTCCACCACCCTTAGGATACGAGGGAAGGATGCAAGGAAAGGAAATGAGGATGGAGGAATCATGAACATTGGAATATTCTTGTCCACTCAAGTGTCACTTAAAGCGTCACCATCTGCCCTTATGTTGTTGAAGTTCGTTATTTAAGGCATTCATAATAAATAATAATAAAGCAAGATGCCCCGTTGAAATATATGACATGTATGGTTTATTTAAACTGCAAAGGTAAAATATAAATGTAAATTATTACGACAGATGTGAAGGAGGAGGAGCATTTATATGTGCATCATTTTTTTGCCCAAAAAAGACTTCCGCATAGGATACACCTGTGTATCCTCGCTCATGACTCCTCAGGAAGCCTCCTCGATCCTCAATCCTCGATCCTCGTGGTGCAATTAGAGAATTGAGATGTCCTACAAGATGGCTGAGCTCAATCGGTCTTTCATGTCTTAACAGTTGAATATTCTGTTTGATCTGCTGCAATGACATCCTGCAAGGAAACATCACAATCAAAAATAAAATCGAGTAGGTTCAAACACACTGAATTATAAAAGTGAAGGACAGAAAAATTTAAAACAGCAGCTCTATTTCCCACAGTTGAGCAGAATTACTGAAGAAAACCTTTCAGCGTCATTACATCAGAGAGAAACAGAGCAGTGTGAAAGCATATTCTCAGACACATACACAACAGACTTCAGGTATTTAAAGACGCTGAGGGTGTTTACACATGCACAAAAGGCAGAGTTCACACAGAAATACAATATATCTTACCATACTCTTAACCTGATATGCACAGAATGTTGTATCAGCATAAAGTATCTCTTCCTCTTGAGCCTTAACTGTTTTAATAATAATCACACATTTAATAAACTTAACTACATTTAACAAACATTTTCTATTATATATATATATACTGTATATATGTATATATATATATATTTTTTTTGCATGTCAATACTTGCCTTCTTTTTCCGATTGTTTACACTTTCTGTGGCAGTACATCAAACCTACAACTACAGCTATGAACACCAGCAGGAGCGCTATAACAACTATTGAAATGTTGAGACGTGAACCCTCTTCCCATTCTGTAATTCACAGAAAAGAGACAATAGTGTAATCTTAATAGTTTATTCTTTAAAAATAAATCATTATGGTGATGGAATCTATTACATTACTATAACATTTTACCTAAGCATGTAATATAAGTAAAGTACTTTAATATTTTAACATTTAAATTTACTTTATCACTCCCAACATGTCTGATATTTTGCTGAATTTACAATCACTAAAGAAATTATTTGATTAACTTTTTAAAAAAATTTTTTTACTTTGTTAAAGTATTTCCTTTTGAAACAGGATTTAGGGTGGGACAAAAGGCATAAACTGCAAGCAGGCTTTCATTTAACACAAATGTCACACCTTGACTGGCTAGACAAATACTTGTATATGATAATATCTGCTAACAATGAACTGTCAATATGTAAATAACATTACAGATGAGAGAACACCTCAAAGCACATAGACATTTAGACTATAGACAGCACATAGCACATATACTATTTTTATTAATTTAACACAATTAGAGGAAAAGAGATAATGTGGTACCTGGACATATGTGACAGAGTTGAGTGATGTTGATGTTGTGTTGAGTCTGGTTGCTGATGGGATTGTTAAGCACACAGCTGTAGGGGTTTTCTCCTGATATTCCACCTCCAGAGGTAGAGAGAGACTGATGCTGAGATCAGACACACTGATGCTGGACAATAAACTGTTTCCTTTGTACCAGGAGAGAGTCACATCAATCACATTCAACACTGAACACAGCAGTGAACAATTCTGACCTGATGATCCTGATGATGAAGAACACTTTGAAGAGTCTCTGGTGATGACAGGAACAGGAAGAGCAGCTGAAAAAACATTACAAATAAAAAAGTTGTTCAGCAAAAACAAATGAACATAAAACTCTGCCTTTGCTACCCATATTTGTGTTTATTTATTTGTTTGTTTGTTTTTTCTTTGACTTCTGATGCTTTCAAAATGTAACAGACATTGGTGATGATGCCAGTTATATTTGCATACTAAACTGACTTTTCATTCTTACACCAATTTAACCATCGAAACTATAACAATAAAATTCTCTTTCTCTTTCTAAATGTGTCTTTACAGATTTTTCTTACTATTATTGTACGTAAAACTTCAACACTATTGTCTTTCTTCCTTCTATTCTTACGTATTTCCATCAGGAAATATAAAACAATAGCCACTATGAGAGAACTGTCTTGCAAAACAGGGTGTAGAAAATAAGTTTCACTCACACTTTGGTTTGTCATTAAATGCTTAAAAAAATCACAGATGAATCACGAGAAAAAATGTTTTAATTTTGAGAATCATCACAGTCTGGATCATCATGGGCAGGACACCAATTACTCACCATAGACAGTAACACTGAATCTCTTGTTTGAAGTTCCTCTGTTGTTGATGATCTGTAGTTTATAAAGTCCAGTGTGTTCAGTTCTGATGTTTCTGATGGTCAGAGATCCAGTTTGATTGTCCATCTGGAGTCTTTTCTCAAATATTGTATTAGTGGCATCTATATAGATGTTCTGTCTGTGGATATCAGCTATTCGCCTCTCTTGAGGTCCAAACATCCACAGTATCTGATCATCTCGCTGCATTTTAACATCAGTGTTTAGAGTGACAGAATCTCCCTCCATCACTGATACTGACTTTATTACATCTGTATCACCAGCAAACACACCTGGAGAAAAACAGTTTATATAGCAAATGAAAAACCTGTTTAAGTTCAAACAGAACATTAATGAGGAAGATCCACCAGGACAAATGTTATTGCTCTTAAGGCAAGACACTTCAGGCAAAACAAAAAAAACAACGTACATGCACCAGATTTTATAGTTTTATATTCCGAAGGTTTATTATTATTAGGCTATTATTTATTCCTTTTTTGCGGCAAGAATTCTGAACCTTGCATTATTCAATATTCAGATTTTTTGTTGTAGAAATGTATGCAATTGAGTTCATATTTAATTAGATGATCACTTATTTGCATATAACATTCCAGAGAAGTTGTAATACAAAAAAAATGTTCTTAATGATTCTTAATTTGCGATTCTTAAAACAAAGTATGTTATAACGTACCAGTCGATAGCAAAAGACACAGACAGAAGAACGATGCGCTGTGAATCATTTTTCTTAACCTCTTCATAAACACCCAACAATACTGAGTGCGTGTGAAAAACAAATTCATCGAGGTCCTCTGCTTACAAAAAGAATGTCCATTCTCAGATGAAGCTAACGTGTTCCGTACCTCTTCAGTAACAACGTCCAAGAATTACAAAAACGTTTACAAGCGAGAAATAATCCAATTATAGGCTTTATGAAGATTGTTCCATTAGGTTTGAATGTCCGGTTCTGAAAAAGGAAAGTCACGCATTACGCTACACTTACACCCCTCCCTCCCTCCCTCTCTTTATCCACCCCTGGTATATAGTAATCAGCATCTTCGTCTCTGCTAGTACAAACAGCGCTAAGTTCTCTACTACAAATAAACTTCGTTAAGTTTAGTGCGAATCCCTCTCTTAATTCCTATTCTTTAAAGGTAAATATTTTTTTATATGAATAGTTTTAATATTTATTTGTCGTTTTGTAAAATAGTTTTGCCAAATAATAATAAAAATAGTAATAATAATAATAATAATAATAATAATAATAATTGACCATACTTGCTTCCACATCAGTGCTTCAATGCTTCAATCAATGCTTTTCTTTCTCAATAAAAATGAAGCAGCAGATCAGTGTAGGGTTATAGAGTTCATCCATAATTCCGATCGTCTTTTGTTTGCATGTCTGCTGCTGAGTTGAATCATTTATTAAGGGCCCGTCAATTCCATTTATTTTTATAGCATTATTGACGTTACGTATTGGCCCAGATCCAAGAACAGTGCTTAAAATGTTTGTGCCAGTGGAATTTTGAGATGCACATGTTGATAAAGAAAAAACCTTGAGAGGAGCCATGTTTTATCTGGGAAGCTCTCCTCCTGCTACACACATAAACACATTTATGCAAGGCATGCACATTTTCAGCAATGGACTTTGCTAGTTTCTTCTGAAAATCACAGCTATGTGTGTGATCCCTGCAGGATTGGTTGCCAGATGGAAGAGCGTGATTGGTGGATTGTGAAGCACAAAGCTTTAAAAGGTCTTTAGACAGAGTGTTCATTTTAGTGTTGGCCCTCATGGCGTGAAGAGCTCCATGGATTCTCCTCCCATCGACAGATCCAAATTGTAGTGTATCTAACGCATGTTTGATTCAGATGTGTCCTGTTAATGTTCAGAGTTGCTACAGACATTATTAGATACATATAGTGTAGAGGGATGACCTGACGTTTATTTTTGGATTAGTTTGTGATTTTTTTTTTTCTTGTCAGGTAGATAGGAAAGGTACTTTGTACCTTTGTATTTTTGTTTAATTTAATCAAGTTACTTATATTTGATGACTTCTTTTGTTGGTTATTTTTGCCTTTGGTCCCCATGAAGTCATGGCAGCTTAAAATAATGATCTTCCAGCTGGAGTTGGACCACATTTAATAGCGAACATCTCATGTTACGTTCTTTTTCTCTTTTTCTAGGATGGGACATAACAATGCACCTGTGTCTGTGAGAGTCTATGTGAACCAACATGCAATTTGCAATGCAAACCACAGAGTTTACATAACATCAGGAAGCTTTCAGGTAAGCACACAGAAATTCAGCCAATGTTCACTGTGTACATACATACTGCATGAACAGAGGAAAATGGTAGTATGCTATTTCACACAGCACTAATGCATGACCCCTAAACCACCGAGAAGCTGTAACAGCCTTGTTCCTCTCAGCTAACCTCTAGAAGTTTTTTTTTTTCTGTTGACACCTTGGTTTCTGGTAGGCCACCATTTCCTTTTCAGCTAAAGCTCAACATCCTTGTCAACTTTCTTATCGGATGGTTAAGGTTAAACATATTTGTAATACTTTGAAAAATCATAACTGTGGAGAATATGAATCAAAATATGTTTATTAATGTAGCATCCTTTTTAAGACATCGGCTCAGTTTTGAAACATTAAACAACAGGAAACCAAATTTTATTACACTTACAATGCTTCTTATTACTTTTATTTCAATCGTTTACATATTTAATTGTGGAAATGCAATTTGTGGCCAACCAATGAAATATGTTTATAATCTGTTTTCAGGGTCGTTCAAACTCAAACTATTGCCACCATCAGGTCAAAAAGTTTCTTGCTATTTACTTTTTTAGTTTCGAAGCATGATGCTTTTCCCCAAGCTCCAGATCTTAATGACAAGCTACATTCAACACGATACAATTTTAACTGATCCTATACTGATCAAATGGGTGTTATTCAAAACCTAGAATGACGCAGACCATCTAGAATAATGACGGTGAAGCTGAAGAGAAACACTAAAGAGAAGCATTCCTTAGTAAATGTCTCTAAACACTACTCTCATTTCAAGCTGATCTTTTACCTGTACCTGTATTTAAAGTATGTATTCCAGTTCTCTGAAGCGTTCTCACTACATTTGTTCTCAGTGAAGCACACAAAGGGTGGTAAGGGAGTTTCACAAGAGCTTGAGGAAAGCACTTGCTGTGGGTACAAATACACCTTATACACACTAACACTCAAGTGCACTCTTGTGTGTCCAATAATAGGTACGCCAAAACACCTGCTGCTGCATTCAACAACAACAAAAACGCTTGATACCCCACACTGACCTAAATAGTTCTGACCACAGGTATCATTTTGAATCTAACACCGAGCTGCTAGTAAAGGCACAAAGCATCTCATGTTCATTCTGCATTTCAAAAATGGCCCTTGTGCACAACTTCTTCAGTGCAAAACAATTTTGTGACAAACATGACAACTTTAATGCCATTTCCAATGGCTATACAGTTAATACTGTAATGGCAATGCTACAGTAACTGCATATGTTTGGTTTACAAGACTTTGTGGTTTTAAAGCTCTTTGCACACTGATACAGTTTTAAAGGCACAGAATGTAAAATCATAAAGATGCCCTTGCATCTTTCTCTCACGCAAAAATGATATAGAGTAAATTATGCAGAATCAGATTTTGATCTTTAGACAGTCTATAGTCTATACTAAAAAAACTGCTCTGGAAAGGCATGGCCTGTTATTGTGGTCAGGTTTTTATATGTGCATCTTGTGACTGTATGATGCAAGTCCTGCTGAACCACAATTTCTCAGATAAAATAATTCAGTGCATTTTGCTTTGGTTTAACCAAGTTTTCTATTAAAGTTTTACTTATGCTGAAATAGCATTATAAAGCTTGTATTTCAGGTTCGTCCAGGCAATGTGCGTGTGTGCTTTTCTAAGCACACATCTCAGGGCACTTTTTGTTTTTATGCAAACCAGAGCTTCTAAAGGCAGCTGCTGTGACGTGATGGCTTTATCAATTGGCAGTTGGCTTTTATTTAGGTACTTTCTCCCATTCATAGTACAATAGCTGTGTCCCAATTCAGAGGCTGCATCCTTCAAAGGCCGCAAAGGTCGAACCACATGTTGTTGAATCCCTTTTCATGATACATAAAAAAATAAAAAAAATAAAAAAGTTGTATGTAGCTTTACACACTATGTAGCTTTACACTTATCAAATAAATCATTCAGAGAATTAATTAGCTCTTATTTTAATAGTTGCATATCTAGTCTGTCCTGCAAACAGTTGTAATTTCCTACATCAGCTCCATCATCTATGATCTACTTCCTCTCTGTATGAGTTTAAAGTTACTCTTCCCCCACATCCCATAGCCTACATAAAGCCGCCAGAGCTTGAACCACAATCAAGATAACAGAGAAACACAGGTCAATCACATAACCATTACATAATGGAACTTAATATATTTACGTCCCTTTATGCACACACTCACGCATAACATCTGCTGATTGGAAAATAAAAACAGTATTATGGAATATTTTGTGATGTCAATTTTTCTCACCAATCACTGACGAGGAGGAGAAGCATTTAAATTTAACCCTGCTAGCTAATGCGTAATGTTGATATCAATCTCTCATGGCAGCTGAATCAGGATCCATGATGGGTCATGGTTTGACTTTGCAAAAATAGGGAAGCTTACTCTAGCAGTAGCAGTAGCCCCTCACTGCAGAACAAAGATCCAGGGGGCGTGGTTGGTTCCACATTTAGGGGGTGGAGATGGTAGGTTTAGGAGTGGAGATGGGTGGGTTTATGGATCAAGGGGTGGAGACGGGTAGGTTTAGGTATATGTAAGGTGGGAGGAGTTGGATCTGGATCCAACCTCGCCCCCTGGATCTTGTGTTCTGCAGTGAGGACCATCTCGAATTCTGCGCAAACTGATGTACTGCTTTGCTACACACTTTTCTTTTTTAGGCTGGTCTAGTGGTCTAACAATACTTTATCAATGTCAAAATGACTGAGATGACTAATCAAATCAAAGTAGGTGGGCTTTACTGTTCACAGAAGCAGAGAGTGAATTCAAAGCCACTGGAAGGCAAACCTGCAACCTTTAGCCAAAAAAGCGTAATGGCTAATGCTAACACTGCTGCTTTGGCGATGCGCAGGGAAGGAGACCAGAGGCCGTATTTTTTTGAATGGATGTCAGTGAAGGAGAGGCTTCTCTACACTGAATAAACAGCTTTTGTGAGGAAACAGCTTTTCATTTAATAAATCGACAACCTGTTTGTTAATCTTCAACACATTTTACACTAAACAATATTTTCATTTTTATTCCAACTATATGTAGATTTTACCTTGATAAAAAATATATATATTTTAAGAGAAGGCAGTAAGAAATGTCGCGACAGGTAGATCTCATTTACGGCATTACTACCAGCAAATGGGTTGTTAAATAAATAACAAACAGTTAATTTAGCTGAAAAACATAATGCATGGAACAGTTTTGCTGTAACTGACTGTTGCTAGCTGACGTTACTGTCAGTTTTAATGTCGAAGGAAAGTGTCGTAAGACAGTTTTTTACAATACAAATTTTAACTGACAGTAATACCCAGCGATGCAAACTACTTGACTTTTTTCTCAGTTATGGCCGTTTTGAATTGAAAATATGTTTTTTTATGGTTATTTACACAGGGTCGGATTTAGTGATCTGGGGGCCCCAGGCAAAATATAGAAATGGGGCCCTATACATTTGCACGCATTTACCTAAAGATCAACTCTGAGGTTCCTTTTTTCGTTGTGATGCTTGTGTTGCACCATAGTTGTGTACAACGTTTCTAACTTTTTCATGTACATGGCTTTTTCTCATGTTGTAGACCACGAAATAGCAATAGATTTACAGTTGAGATACAGGTTTTCACAAAAATAAAATAATGAAAATGATAAACCATTTTTTAAAGAAAAGGGATGAGTCAGAAGTATAAATGCTTAGTTATTTCTATTCGTGGTTGCAGTTCAGAACCAAATCCTCCTTAAAAGCACAATGGATTGTGGCTTTGTGACTTATTCTATTGTCACGTACTATTTGGGATGAGATGCACATTGTTTAAAGTTTAAAGCTCTGGCTCCCTCTAGTGTCACTGACTTGAATTCACCACGCTTTACAACTCCAGAGTCGACACGAGCACAGAGGCAAGGTTCTTTTATGAATTAGTCAAATAATTACTGTGTAAGTTCACAATGACATCTTTCTTTAGAACATGACACAATTTTTTTGGGCTAAAGACATCGGTAAACAGTGAAATACTTTTTTAGATACTTTTTGTAATGGCAAAATAATTTTTATTAAGGCAACACTGATATAATAACATAAACACATGGTCAGTGCTGTTTTAGATCGTTTAATACATGAATGTAGAAACAGATAACAAAGGTTTTGTTTGCATTGTATTACTACTTTACCTGTGAGACTAGTACAGTATGTCAAGATCAGTAGGGGACACATTACAGAAAACAGTATTTAGTACACTTTTTCTTTTTCTATACTGAAAAAGTGCTGTGGAATACAACTTTTTCTGATGAGTTTAGAGCTAAAATGTAAAATACAGTGGAAAATTCCCAGTATTAGTTGCACAAATATGTCCTGTCTGACAAGCTGAACAACTAACAGCAGACAAGGAAGAGTTTGTCGGTTAGGGTTGGATTAAAATGGGCGCCAAACATTCAGGATCTAATCTGTGAAAAAAGGATGTCTATATAAAAACTGAAGACAGTTAACTGTTAAAATTCCCATTCATCTCAAAGGCAGAAACAGTCAAACTAGCGTTCATGGGGACTCCTGTGAACAACATGTGAGCCAATCACAGTGCTGTAAATGTCTTCTGACTAATTATTCTGGAGTTGCAGGAAAGAAAAAATCCTTACAATGTTGATTGGCTGATGGCACCACAAGAACACAGAAGGTCCAAAATATTTGATCAGACTGTGTAGAAAAACGTAAACTGTTCTTATGAATCTGACGTTCATCTCCTTAGAAGTGCGGGTACAATAATACAAAATAGGCATTATAATACAAAGGTATAAATGCAGTATAAATGTATATTTCAGAAATGTTAAGAACTTATCCAAAAATCTAAATAAAATATATAAAAACAATATATAAAATGTATACAAAATATTGTAAAAATATATATTTTGTACACCAATAATTAAAAAAAGTATATCAGAGTTAGTACATTTATAAAAGAGCTGATAGTAGAAAAAATACAGAAAATAGGTTTTGTTTAGACTTCAGTGTCTACTGAGAATGTTTAACAGGGTATAAGAGGAAGATTCCAGCAACAGAGCTGAACTTGCATGAATATGTCTTGTCTAACAGGTAAACAGTTGACTGCAGAACAAGTAACAGCATGTTGGAAGGCCAAAGTTAGATTAAATTGGCGTCAAACACTGAAGTTCCAATGTAATATTACGTATAAACCATTAAATAATATCTATGAGATTTTAGGGATGAGTGGTCAGTTATACGGAGTTACTCAGATGAGTGGAGATTATTCAGAAATATTTGATTGCTGAATCCCAACTGACCAATCAATATCAAATATTCCAGAGAAATTAACAATACATATATAGGATGTTAATCGATCCTGATATAGTGATAAAATACTGATGACACTGAAACACTAGGCTTCAATCACTCACATTCGGAACTGTGAAGCATTTGCCACTCTCTGAAAATCTGCCCTTAAAGATGCACTTTGAGATCATTGACCCTGAAATACTTGAAAATGACTTTTTCATGCCAGTTTCATATTAGTCACCAAAATGCTAATACACTGATCCTGTCATTTTAAAATTAACACTGGAGTATATGATGTGGTGTTCTTCATCCGGTTTCTGAAATAAATAAAAAAATGGACGTTAGGAATTAAAACTAAAACAATGAAAATATTGTGTATGTGTATGTGTATATAAGTAGTGTTTGTGTGTATACATCTATACCAACGGTCTGGTAATGTTCTTGTAATCCTTCTTGACTATAAACACTATAAATCGGCTCAAGGACAACGGTTGAATACAAAGACAATTACAAGCACAGGACATTATAGCAAAAGCATGGTGTTTTATTTGATTGTTTTAAATAACGTTCTTAAATACTGGCAAGTTGTACATGCACAACCACAAAGGGAAGACTTTAAACAGAGATTTGCTTTTGGCTTTTGAAGGACATTGTGGTGCTTTTGGATGTTTTAAAAACACTGTTCATTGTTAATCCCTTGTAGAGCTGCAAGGAAAGCACTGCTTTCCTGCATTTGATTCAGCTGCCATTGAATAATCAGGGTTTATAATAAACGCTTTTGTGATTTGATGACTGTGCATCACTGTCTGTGTGTCTGTTACAGATGCCTGTGGCTTTTCAGAGGCATAATCATGGTATTCAGAAAAATGTCAACCTCCACCCTTCCTAAACTGTGGTATAATGTGCTTTCTCAAGTTGATGTTGCACAGTGCCTTGGGGATGGTATCAGGTACAACTGAAGCCTAAGCAGAAAAAGAACAAGCCTAAGCAGGCACTAAGCTAAAAATAGTGGTTTAAATTGCTTGAAAGGCCACATCATTCACAGACAAATAAGCACAAACACTGACAGCAGCACAGGATGGCACATTTTCTGCTTTGTCACGTGTGCAAGCGCATGTGTTTCTCTCGGCCTCTGTGGTTTCTGCAGACAGATTCACTGCACACTGCAATACAGTGTCTTACCGTACTATGAGCACTACGTGCACAGAATGTTGTTTCGGCATAAAGTACCTCTTCCTCACAAGTCTGGACTGTTTTAATGATAATGTCACATTGTTCAAATGAGTCTGAAATGGTGTTTAAAAACAGATATTGTGGCACATCTTTTAAAATCTTGATTTTGTCCCAGAATGCTCATATTATTTGATGAAAAGGGTAATACTTGCCTTCTGGTGTTGCTTGTTTGCATTTCCTGCGGTGAAAACATACCGCCCCCACAACTACAGCCAAGACCAGCACCACCACTATACTAACTGATAATCCCAATGACTGTAACTGCAGGAGCTCTGTAATGAACAATAGAATGATAATAATTATGAGTCCTGCAGTGTCTGATTTCAATCAGGACATTGTTGCCATAGCCCTCAACGCACTTAACATGGCTTTGAACGGACAAGGTTGGAAAGCATGAAGAATATAATTTTTTTAAACTCTTAATATCACCTCTGACTTACCAATACATGTCTGACAGAGTTGACTGATGTCCAGATGTCTGGTCTGGTTACTGATGGGATTGTTGAGCACACAGCTGTAGGTGTTTTTCTCCTGATATTCCACCTCCAGAGGTAGAGAGAGACTGATGCTGAGATCAGACACACTGATGCTGGACAATAAACTGTTTCCTTTGTACCAGGAGAGAGTCACATCACTCACATTCAACACTGAACACAACAATGAACATCTGGACACTGATGATCTTTCAGATGATGATGATGAAGAACAGTTTGAAGTGCCTCTAGTGATGACAGGAATGGGTAGAGGAGCTGGAAATATCAGAGAATAGCCCCAAAAGGGACATGGTAATAGTAAATAAATGCTTTTGCATTTTCTTTCAAAAGTTTTGCGTTCCCTTAAGAAGGTTTGTGTTCACTCACAAAACGTCTGTGATGGAAATAATATGTGGTGGGAGGAAAAACTATATTACAGTAGCGAGTGAATGGAGATTTTCTGTTCCATACCATGGTTCTATTATTATATATATTCTAGCAAAATCATCTCATTTAATAAATTTGTTTAATAAACATTTAATCTTACTCACCATAGACAGCAACTGAAAAACTCTTGTATGTGACCCCTCCTTTGATAATTGTTAGTTTATAAAGTCCAGAGTGTTCAGTTCTGATGTTCCTGATGGTCAGAGCTCCAGTTCGACTGTCCATGTGCAGTCTGTCTCCAAATGTCTTATTACTTTCATACATATCAAAGACCTGCTTATGGATTTCAGCTATACGAGTGTCTGAATTATTAATTTGAAACAACCACAGTATGAGATCATTTTTCTGTACTTCAGTGACATCCGTGTTTAAAGTGACAGAATCTCCTTCCATCACTGATAACTTTACTTCATCCGTTTTAACATCAAACACACCTAAAACACAGAGAAACGTTTTTGATTATTTATTTATTTACAATTTTAGAGAAAACTGCATGGCAAGCCAACAATTCCAATAAAAAAGGCTTGTTCATTAACTTATATAGGCCTACGTGCCCAATACCGTTATAAAAAAAAACATATTTTTATGTTTGACTATACAATATTATAACTCACTTTTCCTTAAATTAACTGCAGGTGGTTGTTTAGTCTTTCAGACAGGATTGTTTTCCAGATTTTGAGCTGAACATATTCCAACATGTCGACATGAGCATGTTTATTTATTTATTTATTATTCGTTTATTATTTATTTATTTTGTCTGGGGGCTGCTTTTTGTTGGTTGGAAGCTCAGAGTTTACTACTAGGCCTACTTCGCATTTACTCCACCCTTAGTAATATGGAAAATGCCGAAATAAAGAATGTAGGCTATATAATGTGTGAAAAGATAAAAATAGCAACTTTGTGAAAAACTAGGAGTGAAACACTAGGCTATTTAGTAAAAATAAATATCTTACCATGCGAGAACCAAATCCACAGGCAGAGGAAAAAATATTTATGAATCATATTCACAGTCCCCTACGTACATATCCCATCAATAAACACCTCATGTTTTAGTAGATACTCATCCGCTTTTTTTCCCTCAAAATAATATAAGTCGATGCAGATAACGTAACACGTTAAAAACAAACAAAGGCCATTTCGAGGAATGCAGTCAATGGTATGAATACTATTAAAAACTGTTACTTTAGTATCGTTTTCGCTTTAAAATTCAAAAATGGGATACACAAAAGCCCATAGTCGCTTAAGATGTGCGTGGGCCTGTTACTGTACGTCGATTAAGCCATCCATCCATTTCAAAAACGAACGATACTTTTTCTATGAAGAAAAAAAGCAAACAAAATCAAAAACGCTACTTCTTGATTTCAGTTTCAGACTTCCAGATTTCGGATATCCTACTTTTTCTGGATAAAATCGCTCCGCCCTTTAGGGGTCCTCCTGTAGCTTCAGTGATGAGCTTAGCTGTAGTAGCCTAAACTTAGTGTGGATCAGTCCTTGATGTCTTTACAGTAGCTATACGAACATCTGGGGCATTCAGCTCTTTCACTGACACACACAGGATGAAGACTGTGAACAGGAACTGTGTTGAAGTGCAGATTTTTTTTTATGATTGTATTTATTTTGTTCAACTTGTGGTTTTGCAGCACTTCTCTCATCTTAACTCCTTGTCATTTTCCTCTCAGCAAATAAAAAATAACCCCTGTTGAGCTCTGATCAAGTAAAGTGTTTTCACAAGTTCCTACATCTCTAATCTAAATACCATTTTTATATATGCATACCAAACAAATTGCAAAAAAAGCTGTTCGCTGAGTCTGTAAATAAAAAAAATCAGTTGATGGGTATTTAGACTGAAAATACAAGGAAAGGTATGTTTACATCAGCTCAAGATTCATCCTTAAGCACAATAGCCAATTAATCTAATCAGTAAACCTGAGATGTTAGTCCTAAATCAGGCACAACAATTACAGAAAGTTACATATTGAATAGCTAATGCCATTTCCTTTCTATAGCCACTAGTTCACACTAGAGATGTTCTGACACTTTGGGTTTTGGTTGGCCACTATTTCTTGTATAGAATATTCTTTTGAGAAAGAAGTGTGTATAATAAATGTACTAGTGAATAAAATTCCTGCGCTATTCCTGTGTTTAACAAAAATTATTTAAATTACACATTCAAATCATTTGAATACCATCCATAATGTTCACAGTTCTATACTGCCAATTATGATTTACAATTAATCTGCAGATGCCTGGTGTTTTGTGGGAACAAAACAACTGTTTTCTATATTCAGTCACAGTTGACTCATTGTTCTTACTCATGGGAACTCAAGGTCAATGCAGCGTTTCTGTCAACTATCTTCTTTCTTCTAGCTTTTCCGCTATGAAGTTTGCCTCAATTATTTGCAACTTCCGTAACATGGGAGTGTGTTTCTGTTCTAGTCGACAGCTAATTGTTTTTACAGCATCTATTGGCAGTTTCTGGTAAAAGTTCTTCAGAACATCTTATTCTATTTTAATTTAGACATTTCTATGATGAAGTATGTTGTTTTAATGTAATGCTATGACACATTTACTTTTTTTTTTTTTTTTGTCTACAGTACCATTACAGGCCGTCTTTAGCACTTCACCCACAAACAGTGTTTCCACAGCATGTTCTGCACACCTTCTGCATCTCATATCTACAATAATAGACACCCGCACCACATCTGTCCAAAGACCACAGCGCATCTCATCTTGATCAGAGCAGGTAATGTGTCGCAAGAAGCATTTGTTTCGGTGCATTAAAAAAGCAAAAAAAAGCAGGTCTATTTGGATGCAAAACAGAAATACGAACAGAAATAAGAAATACTTTGTGGCAACAGATTTTTTTTTTTTTTTTTAAATATCTGTAATACTTTGCATTTACTTTTATTGTTTTATACCATTTTGTTTTCTAATTTTCTGCAACACAATAAAACCTGAATTTATAATTGGTGTGAAGTGGTCAAATGATGAAAAATCTAATTTCCCCTTGATCTTTTGAAATACAACAAACTATATATCACTCAAAACCTCCTCCTTCCTGTAAACACTCTGAAAATGCATGAGTCCAGTCTTTGTTTGGATTTCCTACAGTACAATGGCAGCTCAGAGCAATGCATCGACCTTCACTGCAGAAGAGCGGAAACTGACATCTGATGTTTTGTCTTGCCTCTCAGCAACAAGCAGTTGCAAGATGGGGCAATGGTCACCCTGGATGACATCTGCAGTAAATGATAGGGCTTCACAAACAGAAGATGTGATGGGGGACTGTTATTCCCCTGCAACTACACACAACATCTGCTCTATATAAAGTGAAACTGCAGCATAAAAACAATGAAGTATAATAGCCTTTTTGTAAAGGAAGTGAAGGAAACATAACACCCATGACCATTATGTGTGTTCATACTGGACTTTTGTCAGTCAGCAAGGTTTTAATTGTTTTTCTAAATATGCACTAGTTGGATGTATTTGATAATCACATACATTTATCAGGGGCCAATAATTGGTGTGTTGTATATAAGGTGCTTTAAATGCTGTCTGTAGCCCCCTCTGGTGATGTTTGTTTAAGGCCTAAACTCTTAAACATAACATGAATGCACAAGATTACATTTGTTTTAGACATCAATGTGAAAAAAATAAAAGACTGCTGCAAATCTTTTTAGGTAACTGATAAAAAAGTATTTCCATACAAGTATTTAGTAATATAATATTAAGTATAGCCTATAAGACAAAAGATATCTTAATTCAATAACTCCTACACAGGAACTCTGGGTCTAAGCGATATTCTCTTGAGAGCTGCCTTTTCAAATTCACTGTGTGTTGATAGTTCACAGCTGTCTCGGTTCTGCCCACATCCAGCAATGATTTCTGTTAGAGGCAGAGAGAAACATTAATATCACAAACTAATCAATAATTCTACTATAAAAATAGAGTATAGGTCTAACCGAGCACCGGATACAGAACTGCTTCCATTTAACAAAAATATTCCCTGAGCCTAATGACGATCTAATGACACCACTACTGAATCTATAGCGGGACCGGTCCGACTCTGCACGTGAATGATTCTTATGAGCCGGTTCTTTTCAGTGAATCAAAGCATTCAGCGAAACCAGTGTAATCTCATTCCCGAACGAATGACTCGTATGAGTCGGTTCTTTTCTGTAGTCTATGAAAAATACAGCGCACCAGAGTGCGACCCCTGAAGGAATTATTCTTATGAGGCGTTCTTTTCAGTGAATCAAAAACAAAAACATTCAGCGCAATCAATGTGATTTGATTCCCGAACGAATGATTCTTATTAGCCGGTTCTTTTCAGTGAATCAAAATAATTAATCAGAACCAGTGTAATTCTGAATGAATAACTGTTATATTGAAAGAAAGAAAGAAAGAAAGAAAGAAAGAAAGAAAGAAAGAAAGAAAGAAAACAAAAAACAAAAAACAAAGAAAGAAACAAAAAGAAAGTCAGTCGTTATCAGATTAACTGTTTACTGACCTGTGGCAGCAGATGTCCCATCTGAAGGCAGCAGATGATCTGTGTGTATTCTGACATGCTTTGCTTCTCTATGATCCTCAGATCTACAAACACAAACACAGGTCAATGTGAGAAGATTCTGAGTGTATCTGACATCAGCATTAGGTACACATACCTCATATGATCATCATTTATATTACATAAAGCAATAGGCTATACATTCCTATGCTGTTTTCTCCAAGTAGATATAACTGCAAACCGGAGATCACCAAAATGGGGCGTGAACTCCAAAAGTGGGCAGAACCTCCAAAATGGGGAGGGGTCTCCTCACGCAAAGACTTTCACCATTGGCTCTGGCTCCAGCATATTGTTATTGACTTACATTTCAAAATAAAAATTTATAAATTAAACATTGTCTCTAGTTAATCTATAATAAAATATGCTATATAAATACATATTCTCCGTGAGAGCAGAGCCCAAAGCTTGTGGCCAGTGGTGTTCGGATTAGAGTTTGAACCTCTGCTTTATGATAAACGGGAATCACCCACTAGCTTTAATTGACACAACCAATAAAATCTTTAAAATCAGCTGTGGGGCAGAGTTTGCACTGAAGTGGATTGGGGGAAAAAATTGTGCATGTGTGTCATGTGCCTGTCTGTCAATGGGAGGAAACCACGCCCCCATTTGGAGATCTCCAGGCTAGTTATACCCTTCTCGTTTTCTTTGACAACTAAACAGGATGTAGGCTACTGCCTCTAGTGGAACATGATGGCACAACAATATACAATATTTGCAGTTTGCAGTGACATGGTGTTTACATACATTTAGTCATTTAGCAGAGGCTTTTATCCAAAGCAACTTACAAACATTTTTAAAAACATGAATTCCAGCACATCTTCATAGCACATGATTTTGTCCTAGAAAGTCTTGTATTATTTAATGCGTAAGGTAACTTGCCTTCTGATCTTGCTTGTTTGCATTTCCTGTGGTGTAAGTATATCACCCCCACAACTACAGCAAAGATCAGAACTATCACTACATATAATCTCACTGAATGTGACTGCTGAATGAGTTCTGTAATGATCAACAGAACAATAATAATTATCAGTCAAGACATTGTTGCCATAGCTCTCAACTCATTAACATGTCTTGGAAAGCTTCTCAGACATGATTGGAAAGCTTGAAGAATATATGTAATCACTAAATATAATCACTAATATCACCACTGACTAATCTGGACATATGTGACAGAGTTGAGTGATGTTGATGTTGTGTTGAGTCTGGTTGCTGATGGCATTGTTAAGCACACAGCTGTAGGTGTTTTTATCCTGATATTCCACCTCCAGAGGTAGAGAGAGACTGATGCTGAGATCAGACACACTGATGCTGGACAATAAACTGTTTCCTTTGTACCAGGAGAGAGTCACATCACTCACATTCAACATTGAACACAGCAGTGAACATCTGGACACTGAAGATCCTGATGATGATGAAGAACATTTTGAAGTGCCTCTGGTGATGACAGGAATGGGAAGAGGAGCTGGAAATATTAGATAATAAATGGATATAGAAATGTTACTTAATTTAAATAATAATAATTGTAATAATAAATATCTAAAAGTAATAAGTTAGTATACAAAAGTTCAGATGAAACATGCATTTTTACTTAATTCCATTATTACAAAACATAAACAGTTATTTATTTTCCACCACCTTTATTTCTTGACATCATTAAACATTTAATCTTACTCACCATAGACAGCAACTGAAAAACTCTTGTATGTGACCCCTCCTTTGATAATTGTTAGTTTATAAAGTCCAGAGTGTTCAGTTCTGATGTTCCTGATGGTCAGAGCTCCAGTTCGACTGTCCATCTGCAGTCTGTCTCCAAATATCAGAGTACTATCATCTATATAGATGTTCTGTCTGTGGATTTCAGCAATACGAGTGTCTGAACTGTTAACGTTAAACATTCACAGTATCTGATCATCTCTCTGTACTTCAGTAATCAGTGTATAGTGTGACAGAATCTCCCTCAGTCACTGATACTGACTTCACTTCATCTGCATCAGAAGAATCAAACACACCTGAAACACAGAGAAACATTTTTAATAGACAAAATTACATGGCAGCAGTAAACAATCCCCTGGTTTGCTTAGCAATTCAAACACATGCTCATAATACCATTATACAAACATTTCAGTTTTGATGCGAAGGCCGAACATATTTAACTTGTCAACATGAGCAGGATTTTTTTCTGCTGACTGCATTTTGTTGTTTGAAATCTGATAATGTGCCACCATTTTGCATTTGCTCACACTGTACTAATATTAAAAATGAATGTGTTTCTTAACAATACTAGCTGAAAACACAGTAAAAAATGGTTTTAGGTGTCAAAATGAAAAAACTAAAACAATCACTTGCCACTTGAGAGCAAAAACCAGAAGAAAAAATATTTACGAATCACTGTTAACCACATATCCATTCATCCAACTCCTTGTGATTTAGCAAAGAGCGTTTCTTTGATTAAAAACAAAAAAATAATAATATCAATTCTCAAAAGAAAATCTAAGCAGATATTAAAGTTACTCGTTTTAAATTTTGAATTTAAAACAAAACCCAATTAGCCATGAGAACTATAAAACTGTTAAGTTAGTTTTTGTTTTATATTTTTAACATGCACTCTCAGAAAAAAAGGTACAAAAGCTGTCACTGGGGCGGTACCTTTTCAAAAGGTACACTTTTGTACCTTTTAGGTTCTAAGATGTACACTTTGGATACTAATATGAACCTTTAAGGTACCAACATGGACTCTTAAGGTACAAAGTTGTGCCTTTTGAAAAGGTACCACCCCAGTGACAACTTTTGTACCTTTTTTTCTGAGAGTGTGGGATACATCAAAAGCCCATGCTATTTGATTAAGGTTACAATGTGGGTGGTTTTATTACTGGCAGTATAGTGGTTCATCTTCATCCCTTCCTTGAAAAACAGAACCCAAAAACTCAGAACCAAAACAAAAAAGCCAAAAAGCCACTTCTTGATGCTTGTTCTTAAGGAATATACATTTTAGTGAAAATTGCCTTGCCCCTCACAGTTCAGCTACAATCAACTTTAGTCTTTGAAATGTCTTCAGTAGCTATATGCGCATCAGCAAATGATCTCTTTCATAGATACAAACAGGATGAAGACAGTGACCTCTTTGTGCTGTACGGAAACATTTCTCATTCGGCTTTGTGGTTTGTACCTCTAAACTACATCTCCTTCCTGTCAATTTCCTCTCAGCAAGAAAAAAAAGCTATCCCTTCAGATTTTACAGCTCTTTAACTGATCAAATTAATATTTTTATTATATGCATACTATAAATCACAGAGTCCATGTGTGTGTGTTTTTTTTTTTTAACATGTATGGTAAAAGTTCTGACAAAACGTGTAGATTATACATCAGCGAAAAGTTGTACACTGAATAGCTCGTGTCATTTCATGTCTATACCCACTCGTTCACGCAATCTTGAGATTTTCTGACACTTTGGGTTCTGGTTGCCCACTGTTTCCTGTACAACAAAGAGACAGAAATCTATTAATGTTGAACATAACAGTAGCTCAGTTGAGGTTAATGTTCAAAGTCTTCCTGTCACTGTCAATTAAAGCGTGTTTTACAAAGCAAAACTGCACACACGCCCAGCACATCATGGGAACTCAAGATTTGTTTGTTATCTTGTGTCGCGTCTCAGTTGATATTTTGTTCTTACTCTAGAACTCAAGGCCAAGTTCCCATGAGTAAGAACTACTTCAGATTACCATCACAGGCATCACAGGAGAGTTCAGCTGCAGCTCTTCACCCACATAGTGTTCCCACAGCATGTACCACCTGTACCACACGTGACCAATGACCACAGTGCATCTCATTTTGCCTCATTTTGAACAGAGCAGGTAGTGTGTCACAGTGCATAATGCATCTCATGATGCTTTGCGCATTAAAAAAATGTGAAACAAGAGCCAATTTCGGCTCCTGACTAATGAAAATAAAACAATAAATTATAGAAATTTTGTTTAACACATTTTTTTAATATATAGGCCTATATATATTTTCAAAGTGATTCCTAGAAACGTTATTTTAGTGCTGTGCTGTGAACACGCAACCATTCAGTCCTCTAGATACTAATAACAATATTTTGCAGTTTTATGCCATTTAATTTCACATCTGCTGTTTGTATTTATTTATTTACGCATACAAACATGCACTAGATCAGGGATTCTTAACTCTTAACTTAATTTTCCTGCGTTTAGCGCCAAGCTTGCTCAAACTCACCTGCCTTCTAGTAATCCTAAATACCTTGATTCGCTTGTTCTGGTATATTTGATTAGGTTTGGAGCTAACTTTGCATGAAAGTGGACCTATGCCTTGTCCAAATACCCATTTGCTGTCTTGGCCACTGGAAGTGTGCAAGACTGTCCCAGGTCTTAAAAACACTGAAGGGCAGTGACCTGAACGCACACTAAACCACAACTAATATCACAACTTTTGATATAGATCTTTTTTTTGTTATAGCCTGTGTTTCATGCAAAAACAACTACAAACTAAAAACCAGTAGCCTAAACAAAGACTCATCTATTTTTTTTTAGAGTTAATTATCTTACAGATTTTTTTGCCTACATTTTTTAAAAAATTCGGATTCTTTTCATTCTGGTATTTATTCGTGTTTTTCTATTATTCATGTTTTTCTTTGTTCATTTGGCAGATGAAAATAATAATACGTGCAATGTTAAAAAATGTTGAAAATAGATTGATTCACTGACAAAACTGTAAAACATACAAATCAGAAACTTCACATTTTGATGGATGAACATAAAACAAATGCATAAAATGTGTGAATGTATGAAAACATCAATCTGATCATTTCTTTTTTATTTGGGCAGATCTGCTTCTCCTATCACACAACAATCCCCCCATCCATGAAATTCCTCCTGCAGCAATTCAATGCTGGAATATTCCTATCAGCATACAAGTGAAGAAGACAGAGTTTATGAAGGAAATGAGTGATCCTGAATTCTGCAGAATAAAACCATAGATACTGAAGAACAAAGAGGTTGGTGTTTATTCCTAATTCTTCTTTAAAGGTTCTGAAGAACATTAAAGGGATCGTTTGCCATAATTTGAAAATTAAGTCAGCATACTCCCCTTACGAAAAAGAAGTTTATTCAAGTGTGCTATTAGTAT